ACAGCAAAAGCAACCCAGGAGTTTTTAAAGGTAAAAAAGTGGAATATTCTGCAATGGCCAAGTCAATCTCCTGATTTCAATCCGATTGAGCAGCATTTCACTCGCTGAGGACAAAACTAAAGGCAGAAAGACCCACAAACAAACAACAACTGAAGTCAGCTGCAGTAAAGGCCTGGTAAAGCATCAGAATTCCATGGGGGAAAACTGTTTTTATGCCTAGATGTTCTAGTGCACAGAGATCTGTAGCGTCTGCCTGAAGGGAGAAGTGCAAACAGGTTGTGGCCAGGGTTAGAGGGGTCTGTGATGATGTTACCTGCCCGTGTCTTCACTCTGGAGTTGTACAAGTCCTGAAGGTTGGGCAGGTGCACACCAATGATCATTTCTGCTGTCCTAACCGTCTATTGCAGTCTTCTTATAATTGATTTACTGGCTGACCCAAACCAGACAGTTATAGAGGAGCACAGAACCGACTCAATAACAGCTGAGTAAAACTGTGTCATCTGCGCCTGTGACAGGTCTAACTTCCTCAGTTGACGAAGGAAGTACAGCCTCTGCTGGGCCTTTTTCACGATGGAGTCTATGTGAATGTCCCACTTCAGGTCCTGGGAGATGGTTGTGCCCAGGAACTTGAATAACTCCACTGCAGCCACAGTGCTGTCCATGATGGTGAGTGGGGCGAGTGCAGGGGGGTTCCTCCTGAAGTCTACTATCATCTCCACAGTTTTGAGCGTGTTCAGCTCCAGGTTGTTGTGACTGCACCAGACAGCCAGCTGCTCAACCTCTTGTCTGTAAGCAGACTCGTCACCGTCCTGAATGAGACCGATGACTGTAGTGTCTTCCGCAAACTTCAGGAGTTTGACAGAGGGGTCAGTAGAGGTGCAGTCTCAAGCATCACAACGGAGGAAACCCAGTCTCTGGTGATGTCCATGAGTTCCAGACTTAAGGTAGTCATTGCCTACAAAGGATTCTCAACAAAATATTAAAAATGAACATTTTATTTATTGATTATATTTATTTGTCCAATTACATTTGAGCCCCTGAAAATGGAGGGACTGTGTATAAAGATGGTTGTAATTCCTACGTTTTTTATGTTATATTTTGTTCAACCCCTTGAATTAAAGCTTAAAGTCTGCACTTCAATTTAATCTTGATTGTTTCCTTTTAATTCTATTCTGGTGGCATACAGAGCCAAAATTATGAAAATTGTGTCAGTGTCCAAATATATATGGACCTAACTGTGTGTGTGTGTGTGTATATATATATATATTATGTATGCATCATATTAGTGTGTTCTGTTGATTGTAAGCTCATTTGAATATAAAAGCTCATTATTTTACTGTATTTTTTCCTTTACTATATTTCTCTATTAATCATTAGATTAAAAAAACAATTAAAAATAGGTTTCATTTTCTGCATTTTACAAAAATTGTTTCAAAATTCTTCACTTTTTTGGAGGGAAAAATAACCCAATTATGATTGCATACAATTCATCCATTGATATCCCACTCTTAACATGTGTAACAGTTAAGTAGTGACTGGTTTTGATCTGATCTCAGCGCATTCTGTGTGGCTAAAATACACAGCTTTGCCAGCTGAGCAAGCAGCCGTGAGGAGCTTCACAGGAGAAATCCCCGACTGATGAGGGGTCAAAAGTTGGATTCCTGCATTTTTCTCTGGTGTTCTTTGCCTGACCAGATGCCCCTGCTCTTATGTTTTTAAACCCATCCCTTTAAAGACACTTAACCCCTCTGTAAGAACTGCCCTGGGCAGGGTTGGGAATCTGTCCTCCTCCGTATGGAAATCATCTCACTTCTTTCCCAGGCTTCTGGGAAGGTTCTACAACATTACATGACTGAAGTTGTACAAATGATAATCTGAATCTTGCTGATGTAGCGTACATGACACCAGATGCCCCTGCTCTTATGTTTTTAAACCCATCCCTTTAAAGACACTTAACCCCTCTGTAAGAACTGCCCTGGGCAGGGTTGGGAATCTGTCCTCCTCCGTATGGAAATCATCTCACTTCTTTCCCAGGCGTCTGGGAAGGTTCTACAACATTACATGACTGAAGTTGTACAAATGATAATCTGAATCTTGCTGATGTAGCGTACATGATACACCTCAAAAGTCATCTACTAGAGATGTTTGTGGCGGTTTTTACTGTGGTAAATGTATCATCATGTGAGTTCATTTTGAACTTCTTTTATATGTGCAGAACAATCGTGTGCGGAGGTTTGCGTTCGAGCTGAAGATGCAAGATAAGAGTGGCTATGTTCTGGCCGCTGACTCTGAGAGCGAGATGGACGACTGGATCAGCACCCTCAACAAAATCCTCAACAGCAGCTTTGAGCTCGCCATGCAGGACAAGAGGAACGGAGACTTACACGATGGTGTGTGTGTGTGCAGATTATCAAGAACCCTTAGTCATCTGTGCATTTTAGACACATTTAGATGCACATTCCTGAAGCAAACCACACTGACCTCCACACACGGGAGTGACTGTATACACAATGACAAAGAGACATGACTGTCCCTCAGAGAGTTACTGTGGATGACTTTCTTCTGTCCGTCTGTTGTAGATGATGAACAGGCGAAAAGCGATCACTCCTCTAGCAGTATGGACAGTTTTCAGGTAGGTCACACTTGTGCAGAAACAGCGATGACCCTTGAGTGTGAGAGAAACTCGACTGAACACAGAAATCATCACACTACTGCTGAGTTTGAGGGGGATTTTTTTGTGTACAGTTGGTGTGTAGCTAGACTTTTGACTGTCATTTTAAAGTCTGGTCCACTTGGCAGCTTATTCTGGCCAAGAACCGCCCACCGAGACTGGAAGGGCTATTTGATAGACTTTATTTGACATTAAGGGATGGAAAACTGAAAATCTTGAAGTAAAGCAGAATATAAAGGTGTGCAAGAGGAAATCGTGCTTACTTGTTACTAAGCCTTTCAGAACATCTGTGAATATCTTGTGAAGTTTCAATGCTATGAGTACCAACAACTTTGTCCATTTCAGCAACTAGTTCTTTAACATTTATCATTGTTATGTGAAACTGAATGGTGCAAAGTTCATTATGAAGCGAACTCAACTACAAAGCAGTCCTATAGCTTATAGTGCTACTATAAAGCTAATAGTGTCATTATTCAGCGCATGTCAGTTCAGTGTTGATTCAGTTCAGTTCAATAATTTTGCAAAGTTCATTAAATCATGAACTGAGCTAGAAGCAGCTCTACAGAAGAAACCCGTGTCATTATAAAGCGCAAGTCAGTTCAGTGTTGATTCAGTTCAGTTCAATAACAGTGTCAATGTTGCAGAGTTCATCAATTATGATATGAATGTGATTGAGCGATACAGCAGCTCTACAGAAGTAGTCATTATCAGCTCAATTTAGTTTCTCATCCAATAGTGTGAGTGCTGTCAAATCAATAATATTGCTATATAATATATTAAGAGTCTTTAAAACCCCAACTGAGCAAACCAAATGTGACAAGCAAGAAACCCAAACTCCATGAGAGAAACCAGGCTTAGACCTTTACAATCATTTTTTTAATAATCTCTTCATACTATCAAAATAAGGCTTTAATTGTGTGATCTCCCAGAAAGTTGGTTTGCTCCAGATTGTACAGTCATCGTCAAACGCAACTAAGAGAATATAGCATGTAAATGCACATATGAAAATATAGAAAATAGTGAACTTTTTTCCACTAGTTTAACATACGGATGTGCTATGATAACTGTCTTTGGTTTTGTTCATCTGGAGCTGGAAGTGAATGAGACTGAATCAAAAAACTTGAAAGGTTTTGACTGATATCTCTCCTGCTCTGTTCTCCAGAGTGCCAGAGACATCGAGAGCAAGATGAGAAATGAGACACGGCTAAAACTCTTTACACTGGACCCAGACTTACAGGTAGAGCAAATCAGCATCTTGGCATGATTTCTGAAGGATCGTGTGACACTGAAGACTGGAGTAATGATGCTGAAAATTCAGCTTTGCGTCACAGGAATAGACTTTTTTTCAAAAATTTTCATGACCCAAAACTTTTGAACGGTAGTGTATAAAAATATGTCGAAAATAAATGACTTTGACATATTCCTCTTATATTTACCACTTTAAATGCATATTGCCCACTCTTTGCTCTTTTCCAAAAGCCACCGGGTGGCGGTGAGCCCGGGTGCGAGGGCCCTTTCATCGCTGCTTGCAGCTTTAATTATCTATTATATTTCTGTAGAAACTGTGTTGCTTTTTTCCCCAGTCACTTTACTGTTAATGATCAATTTAATGCATCATTGCTAAATAAAAGCATTTAATTAAAAAAAATATTACTGACTCCCAAACACTTGTGTACATTAAACATTACTACCCTTGTTTGTGAAAATCTTTTACATTCAGCTTGTCTAATCATTTCTGTCTCTAGGGAGTGTTTTCGGTGACCTCTCCGCACCCTGACATCTTCTTGGTCGCTCGGCTAGAGAAGGTCTTACAGGGTGGAATAGCACATTGTGCCGAGCCTTATATGAGGAACTCAGACTCTGCTAAGGTAGCGCTGCTGCTGCTGCTGTGTGTGTGTGTTTGATATCACTTTTAGGCCTCTGGAAATGTGGATAAAACCAGATGTTGGCGAGTGTTTTTAAAGCTCTCAGATTTCTGGAACAGATATTTAGATATACTAGCCCTTCTCTGCCTAGAGACCCTTCATGCTATTTCCATTCTGGGTGTGTTATAGTAATATAATTCAGATACAAATAAAGGTTTTCGAAGTCCCATTTGAAATGGCATGCTTTGCAAACCTAATTACAGAGCTGCATTTCTTTAAAAGTGCAGTTCTTTTCTTTCCCCTCTCCTCAGGCTGCTCAGAAGGTTTTAAAGAACGCTAAGATGGCCTGCAGCCGGCTGGGTCAGTACCGAATGCCGTTTGCATGGGCCGCTAGGTGAGACACACTGACTTTTTATTAGAATAAGCTCTTGAAAGTCACACACAGATGGTGGAAGTCACTTATTATGGTTACATGCCATGAGCAGGACAGTTCTGAATGTGAGATTGTGGAGGATGCGGCAGACTATGTGTCCACACTGTACCACTGTGGAAATCCAGGCAACTCACTTACTGAACTACGCTGTGCATCTGGATAAGTGCCACTTTTAACAACAAAATTGTTAATAATTTTCATATTGTATACCAAAATCTAAAGAAATAAGAAATTATATTTTACATGAAGAAATCTCATTTTTAAGGCCATTATGATTTCTTTACATTGTAACATAATAAGACTACTGTAATATATTACTTTTTTTAAAAAAATTTTTATTTTGCATAAATTCTAAAGTATAATTTATAAGTGTACAATGTGGTAGTATTTATTGCACTGACTTTAGTTTATTAATAATAATAATAGTAAAAATAATGCAAGTCTTTTTTTTTTTTTAAATGCTTCTCGACTGGAATTTCATTTTTGGGTGGAGGATCGATGTCATGAAGTGAAATGATAGTTGTCTGTGTGTGAGGAAGATACTAATATTTTAAAGTTCTGTTCATGAACGTACATATAATAGTTGGCTGGAAAACTATTATTATTTTGTCCACAGAAAGCAATGGCTTTTAGTTTAAAATATTATTTTTCTCACAAACACCTGTCATTATGTTTCAAAAGACATTCTTCTCTTTCGGATGGAGAATCCATTTAATTGTCATTAAAATGTCACAATGCTTAAAAATTGTAGTCTTAAAATAGGCTTTATTGCAAAATACATTTTCCTATTTTTCTTTTAATTTGGAGAAGAAATACGGTGCAATCCATTTTTTGTAAGATTTGTAACATGGTTTAATGCTCTTCTCCATCATTTGATTATTATTTGTACATATAAAAGGTACATAAACATCCCTTTAAAAAATCTAGTTTACCACCTGCTTTCTGTGGACAGTAATAATGCGTTTAAATCGCATTAATTGGAGTAGGTCAATGTAGTGAAACGCATTATATATTGAGGTTTATTTGCATGGAAAAGTGGCACATTTGCCCTGAAGTAACTTAAAAGTATAATATGTGTGGTACAGTGCTTTACCAGTGCATATAGTGACTGGTTAAGTTGGACTGTGGATAGTATGAAAACATCACTGAAACATCTCAAAGGTCTAAACTAGGGATGCACCGATGTATCGGTTGCCGATATTTATCGGCCGATTTTTCCTCAATTTACAACTATCGGCATATCGGCTATATAAGGAAAAAGGCCGATATAACAAACCGATGGTTTATTAATTAACTGCGTGAAGGCACTGAGCTGTATAATGTCTGTTGCATAATCCTAGCGCTGAAATGAGACACGGCTAAAACTCTTTACACTGGACCCAGACTTACAGGTAGAGCAAATCAGCATCTTGGCATGATTTCTGAAGGATCGTGTGACACTGAAGACTGGAGTAATGATGCTGAAAATTCAGCTTTGCGTCACAGGAATAGACTTTTTTTCAAAAATTTTCATGACCCAAAACTTTTGAACGGTAGTGTATAAAAATATGTCGATAGATGAATCTCATGAACTCATCCTCCACAGAAACTGGATTTCTCCGGGATCGAGCCAGATGTGAAGCCCTTTGAGGAAAAGTTTGGGAAGCGAATCTTGGTGAACTGTAACGACCTGTCCTTCAACCTGCAGAGCTGTGTGGCGGAAAATGAAGAAGGGCCAACCACTAACGTACTTTACCTTACTAGCTATAGTTTCCAGCCATTTCCATCACAGTAAACCAACTTCTGAGAGTTTCTGTACTGGTTTGCATTGCAGGTCGAGCCCTTCTTCGTCTCTCTGTCGTTGTTTGATATTCAAAGTGGACGCAAGATCTCCTCAGACTTCAATGTGGATATGAACCATCCGTCTGTGAAAGCGCTGCTTCCCCCCTCAGGAGCTCACAACAGCACCGCAGCGCCAGACAGTCCACAAGCAGCTCAACCGACAGCCAACAGCCTGACAGAGAGCGCCATTCAGTTTCCACGACAGGTGAGGACACACAGAACAAGAGATCCAATCTCTGTCAACAGCAACTGTGACCTGCTATTGGTAGACACAAAATAATTTTGGTTCATCCCTCAAATGAAAGCCATTTACAGTATTACAGGCATAAACACTCAGACATAACATCAGTTCTGATCATAATGACCAAAAGTCCATTTATTTTTATGATTCTTTGTTTTTTTATGGAAAAACACACACAATATATCACACATTTTCCAAATACTAAATGCTGAGTACTTTTTATTTTATTTTATTTTATTTTATTTTATTTTATTCTATTATTTTATTTTTTATTTAATAATTTATTTAATTTAATTTAATTTAATTTAATTTTTTATTTTTTTTTATTTTTATTTTTTATTTTTTTTATTATTTTACAGTCTTTGGATAAGTCAATTCTTAGAAACAATAATCATTTTAATAAATTATTATTTTTTGTGCCATGTCAGATCTTTTGCAAATATGATGCCATCAGGTGGAAAATAGTAAAAAAAATAAATAAATACATTTTGAAAATAGTACAAACCTTTCAAGCCTATTCATAACGAATGTATAATTTTATGCTTAAATGGCACTGGAAGAAAATGTTTTAGTTTCAGTGACTTTCAATAGGATAATTTTGTTGTTGTGAGTCCTGTCCTGAGTGTCAGGTTTTTTTGTACCTAGTGTAAAATAGATTTATGAAGGGAAAATTTAAATATTACAATTCTAATAAAAAGACACATTTCTGGCACATTTTATGCTGTTTGCATTAACACAAACAAAGAAAAAGACAAAAATGTCCCTAAGGACGCACCTGGGGTAATGTTTAACTCTCTTCTGCACACCAAGGCTGCAATTATTTAATAAAAAAATACAGTAAATGCAATAACATTGTGAAATATTATTACAAAAACAACTTATTTCTATTTTAATATATTATAAAATTTAATTTATTCCTTCATAAATCATTCTAATATGCTGATTTTTGCTGCTCAAGGAACATTTCTTATTAGGGCCCGAGCACCGATGGTGTGAGGACCCTATTGGAATTGCTCCGTTTCTTATTATTAGGGCCCGAGCACCGATGGTGTGAGGACCCTATTGGAATTGCTCCGTTTCTTATTATTAGGGCCCGAGCACCGATGGTGTGAGGACCCTATTGGAATTGCTCCGTTTCTTATTATTAGGGCCCGAGCACCGATGGTGTGAGGACCCTATTGGAATTGCTCCGTTTCTTATTAGGGCCCGAGCACCGATGGTGTGAGGACCCTATTGGAATTGCTCCGTTTCTTATTATTCTTCTTCTTCTTCTCCAAAGTGAATCGCATTTTTGAGGGCCTAAACATTCTCCAAAACTCATGAAACTTTCCACACGCGGCAGAACTGGCGAAAATTTACATCTGATATGGGTTTCAGAAGTGGGTGTGGCAAAACGGCTCGATAGCGCCACCTGTAAAATTTCAACGGAGTGCGCCTCGAGCTATGTTTTTGTAACTTTCATAAGTGTAGCGGACCTCATCTGAATGATGACCAAAACTTTACTGATGTTTTATTAAGTTTATTGCGTCCTTTTTCACTCCAAAAAAAATCACCGTAAGAGCTAAACAAAACACAGCACGAGAAGTGCACATTAAACTCTCTCTCTCTCAGTTGCATTATCATCAACATACAGCGAATTACACAAAACAGTAAACAAATATATACAGATCTCTTTTCGTGGGGTGCTTAATAAACTGACAAACTTTAAATCCGAAGAACTGCGTGCTTTCATTACCCATATAGCTGCTCTGTAGATTAGAAAACCTGTCAAAATAAGAGTCCCGCCTTGTTAATGGAGATCTCATACATATTTAAACTTACAAAAAATATTAAAATGTATACAAAAACAAATTAGAAGATTAATCATAATAAAGTCTGTTACAATAAAGGAGGATTAATATGTATTTAATTTATACAGTGAAGTGTTATTTTACATTTGTTTACTTTATTTCTGTACCTGAAAACTGTTAAACCTTCCTAAAAAGCACAGTTTATTTAATATGTATCTTTGTTCTGTTGTATTTATGTAGGCCTGCTGAATGTTAAATGGATCCAATCCATGTTCATTAGAAATTATTTGATGCTGCAGCAATAAAACTGCTAGTATTAGTTAATGCAGGTGTTTTTGAACTTTGCTGATTTAAAACATGATCAAAATACTATCTATTTTGATGGCAAAATTTCAAATAAGAGAGGAAGTGACAAATATCGGTATCGGAATCGGCCAATAAGTGATTGTTAAAATCGGTATCGGAATCGGCCAATAAGTGTTTATTAAAATCTGTATCGGCCCCAAAAAATCCTATCGGTGCATCCCTAGTCTAAACTATACAATGACTTCCAGCCTGAGTGTGTGAGATTTCAGTTTTACTGTAAAAGCAAGAAAAGTAGAATCAATAATGTTCAGGCAAATAATTGTACAACTGTTTTTGTTCTAGTAAAGGTTGTTGGTTGCTGTTTTTAAGCCTTGCCATTAAGTTTATCTTTCCAGTGGGATGTTACAGATGAGCTGTGCAGGATGTGTGTGTCTGTGTGTGCTCTTATCTCTTTCACCCGAGTGGAAAAGTGGCATAACACACCAGCAGGATGAGCTTTGTATTTGTTTTTCAGGCCGCTGTTTAAGGATGCCTCTGGGACGGTGGACAAGAGCGCTCGATTCTCGGCTCTCTACCGACAGGACGGCAACAAGCTCTCCAACGAGGACATGTTCAGACTGCTGGCAGACTTCAGGAAGTCAGTTCTACAGTCATACGCTCCAATAATAACACTCTTGTAGTGTTTCAGGTGTTTAGTGTTTGCATGACCTGCAGAACGATGTTGTACACACTCTTGTTCAGCTATTGTTTTTCTCTCTTCTGTCAGGGGTGTTGATATTTTAGAAACAGAATAGCCTCTTTGTCCCCTTGTTTATTTTCCCTCCTCTGTGCTTTCTCTTCTCTCAGGCCAGAAAAGATGGCCAAGTTGCCTGTGATTCTGGGTAATTTGGATGTTACGGTCGATAACGTCGCACCAGATCTCACTAGTAAGGCTTTCATATGCTTTTCTAAATGTCTCTCTGCATTAAACGCAAATTTGGATAGTTTCAGGTCGACTACCTGCTGCTTCTCACTGACTGGTTGATCTCCTGTGTGTGCAGATTGTGTCACGCCCTCCTATCTTCCTCTTCGTCAGACGGAAGTCGCAGCAGACTGGAGCAGGATGGTGTTTGAGGTGGAGGAGTTTGTGCCGTCTATCGCTAAATGCTCCCAGCCTTTCACAATTTACAACAATCACCTGTATGTGTATCCACGCCATCTCAAATATGACAGCCAGAAGAGCTTCACCAAGGTAAAACAATGCTAAATTTCTTAACTCACAGCCCAGACTTGTTTTTCTATAGAGCAGGGGTATCAAACTCTTGGAGGGCCACAGTCCTATTGAGTTTATGTTGTGTTTCATTTACCTCAGAAGTCAGATATCAGAGCTGGGAATGATTTCACACCCGAGTCAAGGTCAAACCGTGATGGATGCCTCCATGGTTAGCAATACCAATACTGCAAAAAAAAGATTTTCTTACTTAGTATCTTTGTCTTGTTTTCTAGTATAAATATCTAAACATTCTTGAATCGAGATGCATTTACTTCACAAGTAAAATGACTTAAGATAATAATTTTTTTTTTCTAAAAATAAATGTTCAAAATGTAGTTAGTTTTTGCTTAAAACAAGCAAAAATATCTGCCAGTGGGGTAAGAAAAATTATCGTAATTCAAAGGCTAAACAAGATTATTTTTCTTGCCCCATTGGCAGATATTTTGGCTTGTTTTGAAGAGGTCATCGGATGCCCATTTTCCACAAGTTGATACCACAAGTTGATATGAGTCTTTAGGGTCTTAATGAAAAGTCTGTAACAGTTTGGTTAAAATTTCTAAATGGTAGTGTAAAACAACACCATTTTTACCCTTTCAAAAACAGCTCTGTCTACAGCACACTGTTTTATTGCATTCTGCTTAAATGCAAATGCGCTCCCCTCCCCCCGCCCCTCTCTTCCGAGCCGCTCTCTGAGAGACGGTAAACTTTAGCCACATTTATCGTTAAACTTGTTAATTAGCACATAATTAGGAAAGGCGATTTGCAAAGATTCATTAAAAAACCCTTCACTCACTTCTTCTGGGGGTGAAGCTGGATCACGAATGATTTGCGCGAACACAAACGCATTTAGGTAGATCGGGGGGCGCATTCCCTTCAAAAACAAACGTAATCCACTGCGTCTTCATCGGTTCAGATGTCGGGAGTAAATGACGACTGATTTGAGAAAGGGGAAATGATTTAACGAGATAAAAAAAAAAAAAAACACTGGGTGGATCTTTATAATTATAGGGTGGTTGTGTACACACTGCCAACACACATTTCAGTTCAAACAGCTTGTAAAAGTGCATGTCGCATCCGATGACCCCTTTAAGCAAAACCTAACAAAATTTTTTCAGAAAACAAGACATGATATTTTAAGTCATTTTACTTGTAAAATAAGTGCATCTTGATTCAAGAATTTTTAGATATTTGTATACTAGAAAACAGGACAAAAATACTAAGTAAGAAAATCATTTTTGCAGTGAATCGATAAAACCATATAAAAAGCTGTATTTTGCACAGATAATGCTGAATTATCATGTGCACTGATAGAAGTTGGATAGTACTGTGTGCACCACTGAGTTTATTGAGACACAAGCTATGTTTCCATCACCCTATTTTAATGCGCATTTTAAAGTATCGCATGAGAAACGAGTGATGGAAACGCCAAATTTCAAATAAAATCCTTTAATTCGCAAAAAAGTTTTTACGCTCGCTTGAGGTGGTTTTTGACTTGTGCGAAAAAGGGTTGATGCGAATAATGGGAGATGGAAATGCATTTTGCAAACAAATTCCTCCAAGCACATCAAAAAAGTCATGTGACTTTGCACTATGGGACGGCAAAACCTGACTAAGCAGCGGACTGATCTCATTCCACAGCATCTGAAATGTTGTTATGGTCATTCAGAAATGCACGAGCAAAGTCTGTCATCAAAGTATTTCTGTATAATTGCCTCCCAGAAATGTCTTACACTACTGCGTTCCCAAACATCAGCATCCACCTCCGAAAGCAATGACCGCATTCATCATGTTTCGTCTGCTCGCTCTGAGGCGCAAGTAATTTATTATATATGAAAATGATTATATTCTCCCAGTTTATCAGGAAGTGATGATTTTGTTCTCTTTGACTTGTTGGATTGGAAACGATGCTTGTTCGCAAATTTTTTATGCAATATTCCAGTTTTGCGCATAAGTTAAATTCGCAACTTTGGATGGAAACCCGGCTACAGACAAACAGAAGTGCTACCAAACAATATATTGCTGCTGTTGTTCATGTTTTATGAATGTTGACATGCTGAGTAGCCTTTTGGGATTCTGAACTCCAGAGTTTCCAAGTCGGAACTCTGACTTGAGAAGACATTCCATTTAAAAGTTCCTATTGGGAAAAGGAATTTCCAATTTCTGAGCACAAATGGATCAGCATTAGTTTAAACCCTGCACACATAACACACATAAAAATAAGCCTGAAGGACTTGATTAGCAGCATGCATTTAATTTAGGTTGAAGCTTAACTCTCCATGGCTGTGGCCCTCCAGGAACTGAGTTTGAGAACATTAAGGGGAAAATGCAGAAATTGATCTGAACAAACATTCTTCTCAATATTTAAACATATGCAGTGGAAACTACAGGCAGTAACAAGTGTAATGAGGCATTAGGGAAATCTGAAAAGTAAAAAAAAAAATTTAACTAGCAACGGGACACTAGTGCTTTTCTGTTGCCATCAAACAAGGAGAGAGAAGGAATTTGATGTACCTCGGGAATAAATCAGCCAAAAACCTTCAAGGGCTATATCCAAAACACTAATTTGGCTTAAATACAGGATGGGGAGACCAGCTTCAGACGTTCATCCAGGCAATGTGCTACAGCAGGGATTCCCAAACTGTTGAGATCTAAAATATTTACTTAAAGGCCCCTGAGATTTTAAGTTAATATTTCAAAAATGTAACAATAATTAGACAATGCAATCACAGTTTACTGTTCTCTGATGTTGGTTAATTGGCGACATGACATGCAGGTAAACAACTAAAACATTTAGGCCTGGTTTCACAAACAGGGCTTAGACTAAACCAGGATTAGGCCATAGTTCAATTGGGACATTTAAGTAATTTTTATAAATGTGCCTTACAAAAAACATAACTGGTGTCCCTCTTGAGACAAAACAAAGGCATTGATATATTTTAAGATCAATCAGTGCAAGTTTCTTTCAGTTGAAACAGTTCAGATTTACATTTTAATCTGGGACTAGGCTTAAGCCTCGTCTGTGAAACCGGGGGTTAAACTTTTTTAACATGTTTAATTGTAATATTTAGTTAGATTTGTTATTTTAATTTGACATTTTTATGATTTGCATCTTTATTAGCTTTTCATCAACTCACAAATCACTGTAGTATCATATAAATGTCACAACGTTTTACAAATAGATTCTGTAAAATTTTGTTTAAAACTCACAGGACTCATGTAGCAAAAGTGTGTAGGATAAGTACAGTTGCTAAAGTAGGATTAGAAAGATCAGTATTTTTTTTAAGCAAGTGCTCAGTGAAGTGTTAGTTGAGTGTATTTCATGTTCATGTCTCTTGTGATTCCAGGCCAGAAATATCGCTCTGTGTCTTGAATTCAGAGATTCGGATGAAGAGGACGCTCTCCCACTGAAGGTATTGTCCCACACAAACACTAAACACTAAAATAAATTTAAATTGTAATATTTCACAACATTGCTGTTTTTCCTGCATTTTTGATCAACTAATGCCACCTTATGTAGTTTGTGTAACTGTAAGTGATCCTGTAGTTGTCTGCGCTCTGTTTTGTCAGTGTATTTACGGGCGTCCAGGAGGGCCAATGTTCTGTAAGAAAGCATTTGCTCCCGTCTTACACCACCAGCAGAACCCAGAGTTTTATGAAGAGGTGAGACGTTTACCTCTGAGCTCTACATATCTACGTTTGTGTGTTCTTATGGTCAAACTGCTGTGTTGTCTGTGTGTTTGAACGCTTGTTTTTAACGTGTCCAGTTTAAGATAGAGTTGCCGGCTCAGCTGACGGACAGACATCATCTTCTGTTCACTCTCTATCACATCAGCTGTGACAGCAACAGCAAAGCCAGCACTAAGAGACGAGAACAGGTGGAGATACAAGGTGAGACACACACTCACATACGACCTTCTGAAAGCAGCCTTAACCACTGGACTGAAAATACACAGTGAAAGAGTAAAAAGAGAATCAATATTTAGATCCATTATAACTAATTAAACGCAATGTGTGGGCTGCATACGTTGACATTTTAGGGACACTGTTGCTTGCTAAGTACCATTCCACCTCATTCTGTTGTGTTGTGTTGTGTTGTGTGTGTGTGTGTGTGTGTGTGTGAGTGTGTGTGTGTGTGTGTGTGTGTGTGTGTGTGTGTAGTGGGTTATGCGTGGCTCTCCTTGCTGAAGGATGGCAGAGTCATCATGAATGAACAGCAGGTGGCAGTGGCTGCAAACCTGCCTTCAGGCTACCTGAGTTACCAGGACAACAGCAGCAAGGTGAGAGATTCTATTAATATTAATCATGTTTTTTTTTCTTCTTCGTTTTTTTTTTAATAGTGTTTTGTTGTCTTTTTAAAGTGTTGTTGTTTTTTTGTTGGTTTTTGTTGTTGTTGTTTTGTGTTGTTTCTGTTTAGTTGTGTTATATTGTTTTGTTGTATTTTTTGTTTTGTTTTGTTTGGGGTGTTGTTTGTGTGTGTGTGTGTGTATTTTGTTTTGTTGTGTTTTTGTTGCTATGTGATGTGCTTTTTGTTTTATGTTTTTTGTTTGTGGTGCTGTTGTTTTTGTGTGTATTTGTTTTGTTGTATTATGTTGTTTTATTTTTTGTTGTGTTTTTGTTGCTATGTGATGTGCTTTTTGTTTTATGTTTTTTGTTTGTGGTGCTGTTGTTTTTGTGTGTATTTGTTTTGTTGTATTATGTTGTTTTATTTTTTGTTGTGTTTTTGTTGCTATGTGATGTGCTTTTTGTTTTATGTTTTTTGTTTGTGGTGCTGTTGTTTTTGTGTGTATTTGTTTTGTTGTATTATGTTGTTTTATTTTTTGTTGTGTTTTTTATTGTTATATTGTGTTGTTTTATTTTAGTTTTTTGTTTTGTTGCATTGTGTTATTTTTGTATTTTGTCACATTTTGTTGTTGTATTGAGTTGAGTCGAGATGTGTTGGGTTAAGTTGCTAAGGGGTGAATTAGAAATGTGTTGCAAAATTCACCATTGAAGACAATTAAGCCTTTCCGGGACCCTGGGCTAACGCAGCTTTGGGCCCCCCACCCCCCTGATCCAATCACCCACTCCTGAAATAAAAATAAACAAACACAATGTGCACATCATAATCCCATAAGAGGCTAAAAATTATGTACATAAATTAAACAATATTATCGAGTAATAATCGTACAAATCACAAACAGCCCAGCAAATAAATTTAAATATCACTCACCACTAAAAGGGCTTCTTCCTGCTGTTCTTCTAATACGCTAGAAGTTATAGAAATTTAAAAAATGTATAATTTTGTTTCTCTGTTTAACTTTAACTTACAATAGTGAAAGACGTCTTCTCTCAGGTAGATTCTCTCAGTTTTCTAGCTGGATGTTGTGCTTACGATCAATAATCACGTCTTTGCATTCGCTCAACTGATTTGCAGAAATCAAAACACGAGTCCCGCTCGCTGTGAAGCGGGATCGACTAGGTGGCAGAGGATTCCGCTTGGTCTTAAAGCCTTTCTAGAGCGGCTACGTTCACAATTCAAACAATGATTTGGAAAAAGAATAATTCATTTTTTATTTGTAGGGATGTAACGATTAACCGCGAGCCGGTTGAAAATCGATTTAAATATGTGACGATTCAAATCGGTTGAGATGCTAAACAAATCGCGATTCAGTTAGGGGTAGAACTTTATATGAATGTATGTCTGAGGGGAACTTACTGTCTTTCGATGGTATTTTTTCTTTTCCTCTTGCCTCTGTATAAAGCATAT